TTTTCACACATAAAAAAAAAACTATCGTTAGGAAAAGGGTCCGGAAAAAAGTTTTGGGGGCTCCAAACCAGCCTTCCCCCACAAAAAAAAAAAACAAAAACCAAAACAAAAACAATCTAACAGGGGGGGGAATAGGGGGGGGGGGGGGGGGGGGCGCCCCCCCCCCCCCCCCCCCTGAGATGACCTGCGGTTTTCTGATACAACTGGTATTCTGCAAAAAAAAAACTATGTGGTTTATTGGTGTTGAAGTAGAGCAACAGATGCATGCACCCCCTCCTAAAAAAAATCCTGGATCTGCCCCATACTATAACATGAGTGGTAAATACAGCTGTACATGTAGCATGCACACAGTCTCTCCATTTGGATATCATGAAATGAAGAACGAAACTTAACTTCTATAATGCAAAATCCAGTGGCCCTTTTTTTGGTCTACAAGGTGATGCTACGAAAAATTATTTGGTTCAGTAAAGCACCCATTTTAGGTCACTAAAAGCAAGAATTCAAATTTCTTTGCTTGTTCTTTGTTTGCTCTCTGTGCACGACAAAACAAAACTTTGTAATTATGATCATGAAAGTCAAGTGGATTTTCACCCAGACATACCTTCTAACTGATAAGCATGACTGTATATTACACCAGTATGTATATCTCATGTGGTGCTCGATCATAGTTGCTAATAATTATGAAAATAAATCCAGCATTTATCCATGGAAATACAAGAAACTTACTGTTTCTTTGGCACTGATAAGCATACCAATGTCAGACATTCTTCTGTCCAGAAAATTCCATGTTTCCTCAAAATCAGGAGATCTGTCACTGACCATGTACAATTCTGAAATTTAGGAGAGAATTAATTTTAAATACTAGATTTGTATGTTGATCATGGGTCAATTTTATCCTTGGTTTAAATGATTTTGTTTTCCTTCACTTCAGACTCATTATTTGTTGGTTTTCACATGACATCACCAAAAGTCAAACTAAGGATTATCGGTTCTTCTGAGTTTCTACTTTCCTGAGGTATTACAGCAGCTAAACACCCTCATTTTAGGCAACTGTTCGGTTTGAAAGCATTCATCGTTTTGCAATCGAGGATACTTGAATTTCCAGGCTTTTGCATGACAAGGAAATTAGCTGGCAGCCAGGGAAGTTCTTATGTGGGTTAAAAACATTGCCGATTTTTTGAGATTGTGCTATCTAAACGTTCATTGTCTCAAAATATATTTTACTTCAACCACTATGAGTTCCTTGCGAGATGAATCCAGGCATTTGTAGGGAAATTCAAAGTCAGATGTTTCCGTTGGTTTCCGGCAGCCATATTTCTGCCCCTCAAAGGGACTCTAACTCTAACATGGCATCTCTATACAAAGCTCTATAACTTTGGGTAAAACATTTTCCAAATATCTCACATGTGAAATATTGCACAGACCTGATTTTTGGTGAGGCTTTTTGTTTATTTACCTTCTTTTATTTCCCAGATTCCAAAATTTTTTAATTGGATGGTTTGCATTTTTATTTTTGAGAAAACAGAGAATTCATTACCATACATTTACATCCACAAACATGTCTGCAAAATTATTAATGGGCACAACAAAAGGGCTGTCTAACAGCCCTGGGCTACTGGATTGACTTGTCACTCTATACTAGCATAATTTAATTATTTTGAGTTATTCAAAAAGCCAGCAAAATTGCTGTTACAAAGTAAATTAATGTTAGTGAAAGGGGAGTTGGTAGGCCTGCCTACATGACTGCTCCAGGCATGTAACTTTAGCAACAGCTAACCTGAAGAGCAAAAACTTTAAATTTTCATCTCACCAAGAAATAAATTTGAACCAAGGTTAAAATTGAACCAGAGCATGCACACCTAAATAACTAAGAGTAACAACTATTTTGCTATCATTAATTTAATATTATTAATTTGATTATAAAACAAAAAGTAGGCACTGTCATAGAAGTCAAATTCCATTAAATGAAAGGAATAAAAACAAATAAATTTTATTTGTTTTTTTTTTCATATTTTTCAAGTTATTCCATTCTTTACTAATGTATCAGTGGCTCAGAACTTACAAATCACAGCTCTACATGTCTACAATGTAGTGATCATGTGCATAAATCAGATTCAAAAAATGCTCCAGTTGCATTGTCTGCCTTTGTACCTTTGTAAAAGCTCCAAATTTACAAACACAAACTTGCCCAAGTGTACTGGTAGTTATCTTTAACCTACCTGTGGAACTGTACAGTGCTGCTAACACCCCTCTCTTTGTGTACCAGTTTATCTGTGTATGATAAGAAGGTATTAGAAGGAACACTGTGATAACCATCACAAATTAAATTAATAATATTTATTTTCTACCTTTCCTTAGATGAAAAGAGACTCACAAACTTGCTTGTTTCACTTGCTCTAACATAATTCAGTTTTTTCAAAAAAGGATGCCCCTTGAATAACCATTATTTGGTTTTCAAAAAAATTATACTCCCTTGGAAAAACAAGACCCACTGGCACCCTACCCTTCTCATTCCTGATACGTCCCCCGCCAAATTGTCTGTGCATGCTTGTTGAGTTACAAATTAAGGTGATTCAAATGCTTGTTATGTCTGTTATGTTACCAGAAATTATCTTTTCTAACATGTTGGCCATGGTCAAATGAATCTAATAGTATGAATAGAATATTAGAATAAAATAACATGATCATATAATATCATCACCAGTATATTATGTCATTCAAATCATTTTCAAATGAATTTCATAGAACCAATTCAAATAAAATATCTATTTATTTTTCCCTAAAATAGAAATCAAATTAATAATTTTAATATTAAGGAATCAGTTTGTTTTCAGCAGTTCAATTTCAAACTTTGATCAGTATACTAACCACTGATTATTGACTATGGAGTCCTTTTAATAATCAAAATGTACAATGTACTATATTAAACATGTAATCTATTATTAACAATACTCAAGGCTGTGCTCTAAGAAAAGTTGAGGGGAGCCCAATGCTCTAAACACGTGAAATCCAAGGTGCCCAGTTTATAATTTCTATAACAAAAAAGTAAGATTTTCTAGTCACCCAGGAACAAACGTTAGGTTCCATGGTGCCTAAAGCACAGCCTTGATACTAATTAATTGATTAGTGACCCACCATCTCATAGAGAGTCACCAATAAGCTTATTCCCAACTAATTTATTAAGAGAACAATGTAATTACAGAAAATTTCGGAACTTACATCTGTTGATGTGTCCCCTGCATGGTACCATACTTCATCCACCATGTATGCAACATTCTTTGCAGCATCAGGAGCATTGTGTGGTAGTAACATCAAACCCATGGCCTTAAAAAAAACCGTGACATTGAAATGTGATTATTTTTCAATTCTGTCAGTTGTGTTTCCAAGCCAATTGCACATTTCTACGATCGATCGATCAATCGATTGATTGATTGATTGATTGATTGATTGATTAATTGATTGATTGATTGATTGATTGATTGACTCAAGAAACTGACTCTTATCAGGGCTCAAAATAAGTCTTGTCCAGTTGTCAGAAACAAGCAGATTTTCTTGCTGGGCAGGTAACTTTTAAAGCTTACTTGCCCAATAGATAAGGGTCCAGGTAAATCATCCACTAACAAAATCATTACCTAACATGGCCAAGAAGTGGTCCCAGGCAAGAAAAATGTGAGAGATGCTTGCCTAAAGGGCAAGCTGGAATTCACATTTTTTTTGAGCCCTGCTTATTACACACAGACTAATAAACAACTGACTGACTGAATGGCAGACTAAACGACTGACAACTAACAGGCTGTCTGCCGACTGTCAGAGATATTGACTGGCTGCTGGCAGACTGAATGTCTGACAGACTGACTGACTGACTGACTGACTGACTGACTGACTGACAGGCTAACTGACTACCTACAGGTACATACTGACTGACTTGCTAGTGTTAATCTACCAGCTTCCTATTTACAGTGTATTTTGTTGTTGTTATTTGGTGATAAGTTTCAGTATACCTGAGGCCACTGGCCAATATAAGGGATGAGCATCCTTAGCCGCACTTCCACAGCATCACGGATTATCACTCGGGAGCTTTTACGCCTAAAGAAAATTATATAAACTTCATTAGCCTCTACAATCAAAATAATAAACCTGTAAAGAAACTTAAACAATTAACAATAATATTTTATTGTTAACTGTTAATAATTAGTGACAATATTTTATTCAATCTGCATAATTTTTACATCATACTTAGCCTCATTCAATGAGGTCATAGTGATAAAAAATTTGGTGATTAGCCAGTGCTTCTGTGATGACTAAACAGCGATTTTTGTCAGTCACTGGAGCATCTGGAGAACCCTAGAATTTGATATAATCAGCAGCCGCTGCAATCATAACTAACAGATTCAATTTCAAGTCATCAGTTAATGATAATAATAATAATAATAATAATAATAATAATAGTAATAATAATAATTAATAATAATAAAATTTATATATATTGTAGCACCTAGCTATCCACTCCTGCTCAAGACACTTTACACAACATTCCAAACAATTAAGCAAAATATTTAACATTCCAAACCATTATTAAAAAAATAATAAATGATTGTAAATTAAGATAAAAATTCTCATGCTAACAATGAAAAAGACAAGTCTTGAGGTGAGATTTAAAAGTACTTCACATGAACAGATGCTGTCTAAAAACTTTTACTAAGGTCAGGAGTAGCAACATAGAATCTATGGGGTACCCTTGATCTACAAACGGTGACAAAATTGTTGACATTCTAAAACGGGGTAACTTTGAAGAACAAAACAATCCACCCCCCTTCCCCCTCCCCTCCATAATTCAAAGCTGAGGTGTTTTTTCCAAACAGGGGCACATCATTGCATGGAGGGATGGGGAAGGGAAAGGTTTATTTTTTGTCTTCCTTTGGTAAGCAAAATGTTAGAAAGACCCTTTAGGGCTAAGTACCTTAACTACAGTGAAGCTACAATCGGTGACAAAACTACATGTAAGAGCCCTTCTTTTGAAAGTAGCAACATTGATAAAGGTCTACTATTACTAATTTTTAAACCTGATTGTAACATGCAACATATAATGTGCTCACTCTCCTAGATAAATCACAAATCTCCTGGATAAAATTTAATTTTTAGCTTTTCTCTGCTTTAATTTGGAATTAACCCCATTCCCCCCTCAAATTTAAAACTTTTCATGATCATAGTAAGGTTTCGGTGACTTTTTTGCACATGTTTCATCACTCAAAAGACTATCTTGTCAAAAAAGCAAATTTTGACAGTCTGTACTTCACGTAAAGCTTTGTCTAATGTCCTGAGACACAGCCATGTTAAAAGTTGTGGACTGGGTCCAATTGTGTTCATGGAGTGGGGATAGGAGGGGGAGAGGAAAGGGCGTGGTTGATGTTGAAAGGAACCTTCTGCAAAAGAGACAGTCTCCAGAATTTAAACCTTTAAGGGTTGGCATCTCTACCATTTATAAGCCAACTTTTAAACAATCTTCTTTTATAAGATAATCATGTGTTTTTGTTATAGTGCTACAGTTAGCAGCTTAAACTCACACTGGACTTGTAGTAGTATCCTCTTCAGACTCCTTGCCAACTCTAGATTGTGATACAAGGTAATCAGCCAGTCTAACGTTGCAGTCTTCTGTAAAATGCAGGACCAAATCACCAGCACCACGTGGGAACATCCCTTCTGCCATTGCGGAAAGTCCCACTGACTGGGCACCAGCTTCAATGGCCTCTGAACTCCAACCTAACTCAGGAACATGTTCCAGTGCAGCATTGAGTATATTTTTTCTCATTTCAGCATCTTGTTCTTCTGCACTGTAGAATGCATGATCATCACCAAAATAATTATGTTCGTGTTTTTCACCTGAAGATGCCTCTGCACCAGATTCCTGAGGACTAGGAATATAGTGTAACATGCTTAATATTAGGATGGAATCCACCAGGCAATTGAGTAATTTCAATTTTCAGAGGACAAAAACCTTGCACCAAAATAATTTAAACAATATCACATTCTTTTTTACATTTTTCAATGGTTTTACTTATAGATATAATTAGTTATCTGTAATAACACCAAAGACTATTTCTCATGGGAGCCCGAGAAAACAAATATCAAGTTTAACAAGAATTATGAAAAGACAGGTAAAATTCTGAAAATTTCATGTGTACGATGTTCATCAAACTGACCGCACTCTGGTTTAAAGGATTGAGAAGTACATTCTGCGGACTGAGACAAACGGCTTTGCAAATCTTGCTTTCTTTCGTGATGAAACAAAATTTGCACTTTAGAAACAAATCCCCTCATTTAACAGGCGAGTAGAACAGCTAACAAAATTCCCTGTTCATTCTGCGCTTTTTTAAAAAGTAAAAAACAAACAAGCACAAATGTCTTGTAATTCTTCCACTGAAATTTATTCAAGTTTCTCTTTTAAAAATGATCTTGAATGAAATGGTCTTGCAGACACCTTCAGTAACCCTGACTTTTGCCTTTAGAAATTTTTAGTCGCTGTTGTATGCGTTTGAAAAATGTTGTGAATTGTGTGTTAAGTTTAAGCAAGAGGTTTCAAATTACACGTGACATATGCATGTTAGCGCTTCGCGTCTCGAACCTTGATTCGTTCGAGCTTCTAGATGCAAGAATCGAGTCTTGAGATTTAAGTCGAGACTGTCAACTTACTTTTGAGCGGTACTGTTCTCCACTTAATGAAGGGACTATTTCACTCGGTTTTTTTTTTTTCATTGCCCTCTCTTACTAACACCCACCGTTTACTCGAGGAACAGTACTTAACAGTAAGAGTGCACCTCTATTAGCATCAAGGACATCGACTCTTAACTTGCACACTAAACCCTACCCTGGATCGGTCTTGTCTTGCTCATCTGAGAAGCACTGAGATGACTGCTGTATCCATCTGTTGGACACTCCTGTGATCACAATAGAGTTAGTTAGATCTTAGTATCTCCCAGGTTAGCTTTGAAATACACCCTGCCCAATCATTGTCCAGTTTCATCTCTTTTCTTACCACCCGACCGTCCAAAATCACGCGACAAGATCTAGAAGTTGCAAATGAGCTTATCACAGTTTAGCGATAGCATTTTAACAATGGCTTTCCTATCTGCTTTGGCAAGAAGGGAGTTAAGTTTACTGGGCTCAAGTTTTAATACTCACCAAATATTCCTCGCCGAACAAATCCGACCTGTCTTTGAAACACCGTTCGCATAAACAGGGCCGCCATATTTGTTTCAGTTCGGTCAAGACTGGGAACCAGTGTAGAACCTCTTCCCACAATCCTTTGCGCTGCAAGTAGTATATTTGCCTTTTGGAACACGTGATCAATAGTTTATCCTCATTCCTACGATCTTAGAGTTTAGTTAGTTGGTTGGGGCAAGAAGGAGTACAGCGCTAGGCATAAATAGATTGTGCTCGGAAACTTTTGAGCAACTTTTAGCGTTTTGAGCAACTCTTTGTAGTACCAGCAACCTAGGGCAACTTTTGCCTTCATTGGCAACTTTTGAGCAACAAATTGATATAAAACCGATCCAAACCATAAAAGGTCGTTTCATTTCGAAGGATTTTATTAAAACTGGTTTTATCAAAACTGATTTTATTAAAATTAAGTTGTTACTTATTCAACCAAGTTCAGCATCCGCTGAGAGAGTCTTCAGTCTTCTGAATAATGCATTTAATGATCAACAAGCCGCAGGGCATGATCGCACGTGATTACAAGCTACACCTCAGACAAACACGCCAGTAGAGTTGATACAACACATATACGAAACAATGGTAGTAATTCACAAAATGAAGTTTCAATTATCATTTTTATTTCGCCCGTCCCTAGGCTGCGAACGCAGCCGTATTTCCGGTTGTCGCTACTCTCCACGGTACTCCACCCCAAAAGTTTTTCTCGGTGTGTGATTAAAGGGCAAAAACGCGTTGGCTTACGCAGGCTAGCCCATCCCATCAATTTATGGTGTTCAGTTTATTTTCCACGATATTTTCCGGGAGACATTGATTTCGCAACTTAACGGTAAGCCAAAAGATACATATTGTTATTTATGCTCTTCTAGCTTTTATAGATAACAATACTCCTTGTACAACGAAGATGTATACCTGTTGTAATGTATACCTGTTGTATACCTGTTTAGCCTCCCTCGCAGACCTTCTTAAACTGGAAGCCGTCTTCTTGGGAAGGCAACCTCGTCCCCAGGGCCCTTTTCCATGGCCATGGAAAAGCGTCCTGTGGACGAGACTGTTGAGTAGTTGGTGAGCCCGGGGGGTCGGGGAGGGGGTTACTCGACCAATATTTGGGTAGAGGTGCATGAGCCGCTTAGGGTTTGAAACCCTGCCCCTGTTTAGGACAAAAAATTCCTAAAATACATACCCTGTTTCGAACAAAACCCTCAATTTTATTACCCTGTTGAGGACAGACTTGTTTAGGACAGAGAGGACGAAAACTAAACCCTGCCCAGCGGTACATCCTCGCATAGGTCATATAAGGGAATATAAGGGAGTACCCACCCCACACCCCCCCCCCCCCCCCCCCGGGTTGGGGGGGCTCCAAAAATTTATCCAAAAATCTTAAAAGAAAACGTAGGGGGAGTAAGGCCTGGGTCAAAGGCGGTGCGTGGGAAGGATGGTTTGTTTGCAATATCACTCTCTAGGTTTGCTTCACAACAATAAAGTGTAGTGTTCGACTTTGCCAAACGCCATGTTCGTCTTCGTAAAGTTCGATGTTGAGTTCTCTTCGTGCGTGCCAAATCCGCCGATAATTATGGGATTGCCAGAATGACGTCACTATGGCAAAGCCTCGCTCTCGTGTGAAAAAAGATGGCGGACTTGAGGAGTGTTATTGACATGTTGAATGATCTAGTCTCGAGAATTGATGCACTCTCCGATGTATCTGAAATTGGGGTTATTGTTGTGCGACTCGATTTCTTAAATAGAATGCTGGTCAGCCTCGACGTTGACCAGGACATTATTGATACGATCGGTACTCTTCACTCAACTGCTGCTGCTATGGAGAGCTCCGCGAATGCGAGTGGAGGATACTATCCTCCGTGTTCTGCGTCAGGTCAGCGTGGTAGGCCATCATTTGAGATCTCCAGGGATCATCTCGCATTTTTATTGGAACATGGTTTCAAAGTACAGGAAATAAGTTGTATTCTTGGAGTGGGAAAGCGAACAGTGGAAAGAAGGATGGCTGTCTTTGGTCTTAGTATTACTGGTAAGAAAAACACGGCGGCCGGTGATGGAAGTGCCTATATGAATAATCAGATTATAGTATTTTTCACATTGTGTAAGTACTGCTACGTACACGCAGGTGATGAATTCGCTGGCCAAAATTGTGATGATTGCTTTGCAAAGAGCATGGTTTCGATTCGATTTAGGGATGGACCATTTTATTATGATATTTTTTTGGCCGAGGGGGGGGGGGTTGGGGCAATTTCCGAAATAAAATTCCAACATGCACAGCAAAAGTAGTAAAAGATAATTCACTTGCGCAACGAACCAAAAGAAAAAAAAAATTTGGAACAATCCCGGAAAAAAATTAGTGCACAGCCACAAGACGGAAAAAAATTCATGTTAAAAAAATTGCCCAACTCCCCCGCCCCCCCCCCAAAAAAAATGAAAAATAAAATGGTCCATCCCTTAAGAGAATATATGGGATGTTTCCCCCACCCCCAGAATTCCTCTTATGATAAAAGTGCACCCATGTCATCAGAAATTCGAAATTTATTGAATGAAAAAAAGAAAGTAAGTAATGAGAGATGGCTGCATTAAGGCTCAACACGGTGCCGCATTGCGCGCAATGAGTAAATTGTTGCACGCAATATTGGATATAAGTTAAGTAGAAACACGTACTACTTCTGCAACATTGCAAGCCGCAAATTTTTATTGTCTAAAACTAAATTCCTAGCTCTTCTTTGACATATTTGACTGTTTTAGGATTGGCTAGTGTTGCAGTATCTTGTATAGTAGGGAAAAGCCAGGAAATGTTGCAGCGTGTAACCACATTGAGTGAAGAATGTTGCACCGTGTGTCCGGGCCTTCAGTGCAAAATTCTACCAAAATACAAAAATATTGTCCAAAAGTAATCTAGCATATCAAATAGGTACCCTTAGGAATCACATAAAGTTGCCTTGTTTCCAGGGTGTTTTACATTGTATCATGTCAAATTTTAACTAATTGACGTTCTAAAGGATGTTACAGTCATATCCCTGATGAACAACTTGATGAACTGGTCACAGCTGCCCAAAACAGCAACCCCAACATTGGCATTCGTATGCTTAAAGGTCTACTCCAGAGTCAAGGGCACCGTGTTCAGAGGGAGCGAATACGTCAATCTCTTATCAGAACAGACCCTGTGGGAGTTTGGCAGAGGTGGACCGTAGCAATAAGAAGGAGACAATACCATGTGCATTCTCCCCTTGCTCTTTGGCACATTGATGGGAACCACAAACTAATAAGGTTGAGAAATAAGTTCAAAATTAAATTGTTGTAGGAGAGTGAAAATGAACAATGAAAGTGGTGAATACAGTTGGCACAATTCTGGACACTCAAATGTATTTCGTTAAATGTGAATGTGCATTGTAACCATAATATTGTGATAAAGAAAAAAGCTTGGGACCTGAATAACATGAACTACATGCATAGCATAGCATCTGGCTGATATGTTGACAACTGTAAAGTCCGTTGTTGATAACAACAAAGTTCTATGTTGACTGTAAAGTCCGATGTTGACAACGGTAAAGTTGGATGTTGAGTTACAAGTTTGCTTTTTGGCGGAGATGGTACACCATAATTTATGGTCATGTGATGTGTCGGGTTTTAAATAATGGCAATGGGCGAATTTTTGTATTTGATATATACAAAAAACAATTAATAAAATTCAGTTCATGATCGTGAATGAAAATGCATGTCATTAAGAGTTTTCGATAGTTTTAGTGCATTTTTTTTTCGTGGACTTTTTCTAAGTCAGCTGGCGTTTTTTACTTTGCGAGGTTTTAAAAAGAAACATTTTCGACGAACCGGCTGCGTTTTTAGCAAAACATTTGAAGGAAAATATTTTGTTAGAAGCTACAGTCACGTGCCGGGTCTTTCATCAGACAAATGAGAAATGGGCGGGGGGGGTTCGTGTGTCATGTACGTGTGTCAATATGTTACACCAATTATAGTCAAGATATTGATTGGTCTGGTCACAGGTTTTATTAAACACCGCACTGCCTGAAGTTGATGCAACATACAATCACGTGCCGGTTCTTTCATCAGATAAGAGATTTATCTTATCTACGTGTATCAATACGCTACGCCAATCATAGTCAAGATATTGATTGACCTCGTCACCGGTTTTAAACACCGCACCACCAGTAGATTTAATATTTGGGAAAAAAAAGACCTACTTCTATTGGCTTTGAAGTCCAAACCACCAGCTGGGAAAATCGATGTTCAATGAACACGTCACTTTAACGATTCCTTAGTCAAAAACAAAAGAATCGTTTTTTTAACCTAGGCTGTCATTTGAAAGGCGCACGAAGCAGCTTTTGCAATTCGTTAATAGCAAAATGGCTTTCTTTATATGTAAAGTAGCTCTCATATTTTCAGTTCTAGCGGCAATTTCTTTGGCTTCTCATGAAGAGAAATATCGATTTGGAAGATCATATACCATAAACCCCGGAAAGGTACGTATGAAAAGTCTTCAAAGTGTTTATTACCAGAACATGAGGTCTAAAATGTAGTGTCTACTAAACTGCTTCTCAGAAAGCTCAATTGAAGGGCATTTGACTCTGAACAATAAAGAATGATCGGCTAACACTTAACCATTTACGTAAGTTTATTCGTAATTTAGATTGATTGAAACATTATTTTCTTTCAAATGCTTATTTTTGGGTCACGTGAGCAGACGGTGTTGTTCATTGAACCAAAAGGCCTCTCTACATGTATACAATTGAACCACCATGTGCGGTCGCCTCTCGTAAATGCTCCCTCCCAAGCGAACTCTAATCCAAACGCCAACAATTTTTTCTAGTTAAAACGTTAGTTGGAACGCATGGTAAACGGCCACCGGTCCTAGGCGACCGGTTAAGAGTCCTTTACATTAAAGTAAAGTTTATAAAGACAGTATGTTTTGTTAACTATGCAAAAAAGTTTCGAAATAAAATGAATCTTGATTGTATTTTAGGTTTTATTTTGTCCTTCGGCTCGAGCAGGACCCCCGGGCCCCCCCGGACCACCGGGACTTCCAGGAAGAGACGGTAGAGATGGTAGGGATTGTCCCCCGTGCAACTGTGCGGGAGGTTCACCAGCTACTCTTCCTCCTGCAGAGCCCCCCTGCGCCGGATCTCAGCCCTTTGCCCCTCAAGGGCCCCCAACTGGAGGGTAAGTTCATAATGATTCAAGCAATTCCACTCTGATGTAAAAGTGATTTTGTTCATGTCCAGCTTATTTTTCCCCGTTTGAAGTAGTGTTCTAGCGGCGTTGAAAGGCGACGTCACGGATGTTGATGCAACAACTTTGGGCGGATTTGTAAACCTTGTCCCAAGGCGCTTGGGGCCCATTTTATAAGGGAAAAGCTCGGGAACGAGGTTGTGGCTCGACTCTGAGAGTCTGATCGTGATTGGATGAAGAGAACATTCTAATTACCGTACATTTGATAACCTGGGAAAATAAAGTATTTCCCCCATTTTTCGGAGGGAAATTTTTCCGTTAAAATGAATAAGGGAATTTCATACAGGGAAATCGACAAAGGTTTATGAAATGCAGCTTGAATCTTTTCATTTGCCCTCGAACGTTTCTTAGTTCTTGACCGACTCCCATCTTCACTTCACAAATGCGCAAGCGTTGTCTAAAAATGTTCAAGTTCAAGCAAACTAAAACCGTAGACTTTCAAAAACGTCCGTCGACTTCGTCGCTCGCGGTCGGCCGATTCGCGGCCAAAAAAGGTTCGCTCCGCTCCGCTCATCAAGAGGTCGACGTGTAGCAAGTCTAGCAAAACCGGTGTTTTTCTCTAGTATCATAGTGGTCCATATATAAAATATAGTTACATTCTATTCTTCTCCATACTGGACAAACAGCAAACCTTATATAACTGTGTCCCAGCTGAGTTTACTTCCTGATTATGGATATTCTGCTGTCATTGCAGAGAGAGCCCACACGTGCACTTAGCAGCAGCTACACGTGATCTTGCAGACGAAACGGAACAAAGTGGAAGTGGAAAAGGAGGCGCATAAATTGTCTTATAAAAATTGTGACAGGCATAAATTAACTTAGGACCACCAATCAAAAAGATTCTTTCGAATTAAGTTCTTAGTATAAAAGTGAGAAGTACAGTGAACTTTTAAGTTTGCTGTTTGTCCAGTGAGAGAAAAGGAAAACTCGACCCTTTTTAATAAATGCCATTTCTGATAAAAGGGGATAGGGTTTCCTTCACGACAGATTTGTAGAACGGCTGAGTCCTATATCTCCACTGGACAAACAAACAAACAAACAAAAATACTTTTATTTTTAGATTTTTTTATAATTTAGACATTTATATTATTTCACTGCTTCGCATCCTTCGAAAACAACATTTTAAGCAGTGAAAATAATTGTAGAAAGCTCTGAGGGGGACATTACTAGGCAAACTCGATCTAGAAACCTCTAGAACTACAATCGACTTCAGTAAATACTCAACACTGCGATCTTGTGACCATAGAAATATATGTTTTGTAGAGGAAGAAAAGTAGTGTTAGCCTAAATTTCAATTTCTCTCATAGAGGTCGCTTCTTATCCTCCTCGGTCGGGAGACCGAGGAACAGTAACATGAGACCTCGGACCCCTACACGGGAAGGGGGGGGGGTGGCTGGGGGGGAGGGCTACTTATCAGGGTTTCTTACTGGGAGGTTCCGCCTCAAGGTCCAACCCCTCACCCATTAACGTACCATTTTGGCAGAAAAAAGTATCCCTTTTATATACCTTCCATTAGCCTGGGTAGCAGGCGCTTGGAAGTAGTGGGCACAAGAAAAAACGGGCGCGTGAGAAAGAGAAACAGTCACCCCTCACGTGTCTCCCTTGCGCGCGCCCGTTCTCTCTTTCGCCCACTACTTTCAAGCGCCTGCTACGCAGGCTAACCTTCCATTGAAATTTATGCCCCTTTCACATACAGTTGAACCTCTCCACAACGGCCAACTTGGGGACAGAAGAAAGTGGCCGTTGTAGAGAGGTTTAAACAAGAGTAGAGAGGTGGTAGTTGTAGAGAGGTTTAAACAAGAGTCAATGTATGGACTGTCCGCCATATTGAAAGTGGCCGTTGTGGAGAGGTAGCCGATAGTAGCCTGCGTAGCCAGTGAAGCGTTTCCTTGCGGTTTCGGTGCAAAGACTCAAAGACCGCGCAAAAAATGGCTCTCGTTCTATTTCTCGCGCGGCTAAAACCGAAAATCCCGTTCCTCGGTCTTTCTTTGCTCCGAAACCAAACGGGAACGCTTGTTACGCAGGCTAGGCCGTTAGTGGAGGCTCGACTGTATCTATAACAATCAGTCTTCCGGTCATTTTATGTGGCCTTTAACAATATTAATTAAATTGATGCAACCATAAGGTGCATCGGTTCGAAATATTCTAGCTAAGGGCCCTTTTAAATAACTAAATTACAAATTTCTTTACCCTGTCATATACTTCAGCTTAAGAAATCCTATACCATTTTATAAACCCAAAGCTTGAAAAAGGTTGTCCTTTCGGGCAGAGCCTCTCCGAGTAAGCATCACAGGGAGTTACCCACCCTCTCCCCCCCCGGTACCACGATGAGTATGAGCGAATATTGGTAGTGTTAATGTGCAGTATAAAATAAAGGTTCAACATAAAGTTTTGCGTCATTTTTTATTTAGAAGTAGGCTTAAACATGAAAAAAACATCATTTCAGTGATAATCTTTTGGTGAATATAATATCTCTGCAACCAAAGTTTTTACTTTGAGTGGGAATGATGACGATAAAGTCTTTCATTCGTATACAGATCTAGACAAAAAGAAGTCTTCGTGAGTAATTTTTCAGTTGAGCTAGATCGTGTATGTGTTCGCGCTCGCGAAATCAGATTGAAAATTAGATTGGTCCACACATAAATCTCTAGAATAGCTCAAGATAGAGATGAGAGGTGTCACAAAAACCTAAATTGGAGAAATTATGGGTTGGTTAGCATATCCTGAAAGACAAGATGAAAAATGTTCACTTGCTATATAGGCCTGGATCATAAAAGTTACAGATCCAAGCCAATTTTTGAAGGATTTGTATGGAGTCATCAAAGCAATAGGCTGATTTTTGGCAAGGGAACTTATTTTTGATCTTGTTCTTCCTGAATATGCCAACCAGTCCCATAATTTCAAAAATTTGAAGACGTCACACTTTCTTAATACTCTATTGAGACTGTGATTAACGAGTGTGTAAGCCGTTTGCCGCGTGCATTTGTAGTCTGAGTGAGTACACCACCGTAACATTTTAATTTTATCAACGTTACAATTTCAAACAGCTATGTTATCAGTCATTTCAATAATTATCAAATCCCAAATATCGTGATATTTCTGTACCTCACACAGACCCCCTCAAGGACTTGGTTCTGTTCACAATCCGGCAAAGTCCTGCGATGAAATTTTGTCCTCAGTTCCAGGTGCTGAGAGCGGTGTATTCTGGCTCCAGGCTGCTCGCGGACCACCTTTTCAGGTTAGTCAGCTTCCTGCTATTAGTAACCTGAGATCAGGCTCAATTTGCGTTTCGCTTTGAAAATAACATTCCGGCGGGCAAGACGAAACGAAACTTTTAGCGGTAGCCGTTAGAGAGAATGTATGAGAACCGCTAAAATTGGGCCTGATCCCAAGTTACGCTAGCAGAGGACTCTTTTCCTTTGTACTGTAAACTACCGCTTTTAATTATATAAGCTACCCCGATCGTAAGGAAAAGAGGCCTCTGCTGGCAGGAAAGGAAGAAAGTAAAGTTAGTTACCATCGCGGATTGACCTTAACTTAGCTTCGACCTTATCTCCATCCACTGAATTGCAAGACTGCTTTCAGGCCTTTTCAAATCTTAAGAGAAAAGTATTGGGAGGGAGGCCGATTGCCGTTATAGTGTTGGAAAAGAAAACCCTAGCTGGCGATCGGGGTGCCTAGCTGGCCTAGTGCCATGAGCTAACAACACGCGCACGCCATAGTAAACGGCAAGGAATGACGCAACAGGCGAGGCACATTTGCATTTTGCAGGCAACTGAAAAATAGAATAGTTTGCTTGAAGCAATAGAAAGTATTGCAGTTAATTTTTTATTTCAGGTCATTTTTAATTTTTCAGTTTGTTTCACATTCCTCAGCATACATTAAAATACCCCAAAACAATGTAAATTTAAAAATTAACTGAGATAAAAATTAACCTGAACATAGACATCAAAATAACGCTTCGGGAAAAGATATGGGATAGGATGACATGATAAGAGTTTATTTTTCATCTGGGAGGAAATTTTTGTTTCGTCAAGTATGGTCTCATTCAGCGTTTCACCCTTTCTACCTTGTCTCCATCTGTTCCTTGCTCCAGTCAAAATTTATACGTAGAATTTCCGTTATAATAATTTGATTACCCGCTGCATTCCTGCAGACACACTGTGAAATGATCTCATGCCATGGAGAATCAGGAGGCTGGACCCTAGTCGCACGAGTTGAAGGCATGTCAGGTGACTTCTCACCCACAAGCCCTCTCTGGGCCAATGAGGATGTAGTGAGTCCTTGGGATGCCGCTGACCTCACTCGAACAACATCTATGAAAAATCCCGGATGGTTCTCAGTGTCGAATCAGGCGGTGCGCGTGTGCTATAGTGGTCCTCGAAGTAACTGTGCGACCTTTACGCACAATCGTGGACTGACACTCACTCAGTTCTTTGGAAGTCAGTTTGCAGTGGAGGTACAAGAGCATTATACTTTTGAGTCCTTGATGAAGAAGCTGGGGAAACATCTGGATCTGGGGCATTTGAAAACCGTAAGTATGTTATTTTTCATTACATCTTATTGCGGGCGACCAGAGGAGTCCGCAATACTAATCTTCAGATTGGTATTACGCATGCATGGCATGTATGTAGCCAGCATTCGCTTGGATTTCCTATCACCCGTAGTAATCGTCATCTCATCACGCATGTTTTGACTTTGTATCACATGAAACTTACGCAAAGCATAGCGTCGAGGCACCAACGATCGATCTCGTCCGCCTTTCTTCTACCTTTAATTATGAAGCTTGTCTGCTTCCTTAAACAATATGTCTTGAATCTCACAGGAATGGTGTGGCCTCAATCTTGGAAATCTCTGCAACTTAGTCGCAGACCCCAACAGGGAGCCTGGAACCCACATTTGTCGCATAGGGTGTATTGGCGATACCAGTCTCCCTCGGTCACCCAACGGATGTAACCCGGATGACTATGCCTTAGGTATTGGCGTGTCAAGCTGTAACTCTCCAGGAGGATGTCACGGTCAGGTGTCCAAAACAAGTAGCCTACACTATAGCATGTACTCACGCTATGGTGATTACCAGCAGACAGCTTTCATCTACGTCAAGTAAAATCCGTTTTTTACCGCTTACATGAGCAGAGACTCGATGCCGTTTGCTTTTTTATAAAGCATCTTAGTTAAGAGCCATATAGCCTGCGTAGCAAGCGTTTCCGTGCGGTTTAGAAGAAAAGAACGAGGAAGGAGAGTCAAAGACCGCACTTTCATTTTTTGGCTCTTGTTTCATTTCTCGCGCGGCCAAACCCGAGAATCCTGCTCCTCGGTCTTTCTTTGCTCCGAAACCAAACGGAAACGCTTGCTACGCAGGCTAAGAGCCATAAGCCGTGAACTTTATAATAATAATAATAATAATAATAATAATAATAATAATAATAATAATATTATTATTATTATTATTATTATTATTATTATTATTTTGCTGCTGAGAAAGAAGTAATTCTTTAGAGTCCTTCTTTTCACTTCTTCCAGAAATGTTCTGCGAAGTTGTAAAGTCGTTTCGCTGCATCACGAAGTTGAAAACTGCTCCAAAGTTTGCTGGTGTTCATTTAATTTTTGATCATTAGCTTATTGAAATGGCCATTAATTATAACTCGTTAGTAAAGTCAATTTCAGCGCCATCGGAACATGATGCGGCGAAACGACCTGTAACGAAACGACTTTGTAGCGAAACGACCGGTAACGAAACGACTTTGTAGCGAAACGACCGGTAAGGTTAACACTACACTGGATAGCCTTTGCGCCAGCACAAAAACCACACCAGATATAGGCCGCTTCTGATCACACAGGGCACCCAACGAGAGTATAGTTCAAAACCACTTAAACATAGCATTGTTAAACGTATTTTAGTATTTGAACGGTAGATATCCCCTAAAAATTTTTCATCTGCTCGGATTTTCTAGCTGAAAGTCTAGTGATCCGAAAATTATCATAGGGATCGAAACTTACCTTTTCGAAAATTTCAGCCAGAAAAAAGGCTCTCGAAAATCTGCGAACATTATGAGTGACGTTTTTACGGTAAAAATCTGTTTAAAAATGGGCAATTATACCTTTTTTTAGATGTTCGAATATTCTAGGAGAGGCAGGCAAGCAAGAAATTTTACAACAAATGTCCTGAAAACTCTAGATCTCGAATCGTCTTCCGAACAGATATTTTCCTAAAATTGACGTTGGGTGCCCTAATAAGGACGGTTGTGGCGGCGCGATTTCTGTAACAATGCGAGGCTGTGCCGCGCGGATCTCTAAAGTGGAAAGTCACATATCCGATAGGCATTCACACTATACCAAATAGCTTTTCGTGCCCACGAAAAACTATCCGGTATAACGTGAACATAGCTTTAATAAATTAGCAATTAATGAATGAGGCTGAGTAGGATATGAAGAATTAACTGAGCAGATCGAGGAGGGTGTTATCCACCTCGGCTTTCGGCCTCTGTGGATAACACCCTCCAAGATCTGGTTAATTCTTCATATCCTACGAAAGCCAAATTCATTAATTGCTTTATTATTCATTCAAAATAATTTCTAGTTTAAAAACATAGTTAAAACATGCTTACCTGCATCAATGTTAAGTTTATCTTCGATAGTGTACTTTTAGGTTTGTCCAACTCCGCTAATATTCTCCAAATAGTAGATGTCACCCTCCGAGTTGTCTTCTTGCTGTTTTTGCTATGTTTTTAGCCCTTATATTGCCTAGTTACAGCTGTAGTTCTAACTCTTGAAACGAGTGAAGTGTCCGCCATTTTAGTTTTCACAACGAAAACAACTCAACCTCGTCCCCAGGTCTTCTCCGTTAACGGTGCATTAACCATTAGAAGGCTGCATTTTTGACGTCATTTCCTCGTTAAACACAAACTTCTTCCAAATTTGGTCATCGGTAACTGGTTATGGTGAATTATGCATGTGCTTTTAGCCAATCAGAATTGGAGAAATATTTTGAATGAATAATAATATTCCTTACAGCATTTTTGTTGAGATTCTTTGGAGACAAGATGTACCTGATTCTATTCATTGAGCAACTCTAGCCGCAAAAAAGGAAAAAATCGATCAATCAGTCAATAATACTGTTCATGAAGATAACAATCAGATGATGATGTTGAGGAAGATGACAAAAAAAATTAATAGGGTTTTTTGTGCAACTTGTGTATGTTATAAACTGCAAGGAAGGTTGCAGAAAAATTTCCTAATTTCCTTAAGCAGTTTTCTCCCACTTCAACCAATATATCATATTTATTCGAATAAGCGCCCAACCTCGGATTAGCGCTCACCTCGAATAAGCGCCCATCCTAAAGGCAGAAAAAGTCAATAAGCGCCCAGCCTAGAATAAGCGCCCACTCCACCCCACTCCCTCCCACAAAAACTCCAATAAGAGGTAATAAGAGACCCTCCCAAAGACGGAGTTTTCTTCAGGGTATTGTACAGAAACCTTGCTTTGTTATATCTTTGCTTTTTGTTATTAGCATTTCCTGTTTTGTTGAAAAATATACTGTTACACTTGCTGAGAATGGTGAAAATTTAATAAGTGCCCAGCCTCGAATAAGCGCCCACCTTGAATAAGCATCCACTCTCAAGGTCCAAAAATTTAATAAGCGCCCAGGACGGTTAATCGAATAAATACGGTACATTGTCAGAATGGATGATTTTGACAACTTAAATTATCTGCCATCATTTCTTATCAAGCGTTTTATCTTTACACTTTATACTAGTTTTGATAAGTGAATAAACAACAAGGACACAATTATTTATAACATAAAAAATAATTCTATAGATAAAATCTTTTAATTCTGAAATAATGAATTAGATAAACCTTGCTATTTATAAAAATGTATTAATTGCTGTAATAGTCTATGGTTGTTTCTTAATTTAATTGGTGTCCTTCTTATAGGTTTTATATTTTGCAACAAATTATCATTCAAATATTAGTCCTTGTTGAAGCTCGCTTCGCTTGCTTTTTCTTGCTCACTCACTTCCCTCGCTGAGAACCTGCAGATGCGAGGTCAACTTGTAGCAAGTCTATGAACAGTCTAGTGAAAAGGTGTGGTAATTATCTTTTTAGAGTTTTATGAATTGGATATTTTTCATGCAATATTTTAAATTAATTAATTACCAAAAGTTTTTCCCACCACAAGAAAACCTAGTTAATGTTACCATTAGTACACTAATTAACCCTTTAAACCCTAATAACCACATACAAATTCTCCAGATTGATTTCCATACATTTCCTTATAAAGTACAAGTTGAAAGGATTTTCTAAAAGATCAAAGCATTATCCCAGCCATAGGTAGCCTGAGAAAACAGACGACATTTTGCAATGCCACTGGTGGTTTCCCTGTGAGATAACGTCTGAGAAACGAGCGTAGAAATTCCACACTGATGACGTGTTACTACCCAGATCTGGGTAGTGCTTCTGATTGGCCATGCTGCAAGGAAAATCTGCTTCAAGCAATCAGAAGTGCTATCCAGATCTGGGTAGTGACGCTTGTTCAGTATGGAATTCCGCACTCATTGCTCAAATGTTATTTCGTGGGAAAACCACTGGTGGTATCACGAAATCTCATCTGTTTTCTCAGGGTAGGCCATAGGTGATCATTTAATTAATTCAAAATACGCTGGCTTGACCGTAACATCTTAATCAACACTGCGTATTACTAACATCAAGAACAACATCCACTCCTCGGATGAGGAGAATCAAGACTCACAGTAGAAGTTGAAGAAAGTTTATTCTGGCCTTGTCCAACCAGCATCTGTGCAACACTGTCGAACATATCTTGAATTCCTTCCCCTGTCTTGGCTGATGTAAGAACACTTAGGTGGCACTCATTTGCAGTTCTAAATAATTCAATGGTTTCTTTGGATATCTCGCATTCCAGGTCTTTTTTGTTTCCAACAAGAATTTTCATGGCTTCAGGAGAATACTCGTTGAGATCACGAAGCCAGTGTGCTAAATAGTGTAATGATGAAGGGTCATCCATGCTGTAAACAAATATAGCAGCATGTGACCCACGGTAGTAGTTATTTGTAATTGTGCGAAATCTTTCCACTCCTGCTGTGTCCCAGACACCAAGCTACAAAAAGAAAAAAAACGTTATAGCCTAGCCAGGCAAAACATGATAATTGATTATTTGAAAAAAAAATGTGTTAGTCCTTCCCCTACCTAGTGTCAAGTTCAAATCTGCATTCCTGCATGCCTAATGAGCAGTGAACGTTTCCCTACAACTTATCAGTATTTGGTCAGATTAAAGAATTTTTAACTGGATAAAAGTCATAAAACCATTATGAAGACATTTGTACCAAAATTTAGGAAACCGAGCTGGCAGAAATCTCATTACTACGTGTATGAACTCACTGCTACTCATGCATGCAAGAATGCAGAGATGAGGCTGAGATCTACAACTACTACAGCTGAGAGATTATTTTTTCAGATAATCAATAGGCCATTTTACAGTTGTGGGCTTAGTGTCCCAGCCTTTGTGTGAATGTGAAGCTGAGTTTGACCTTGTTTTGATACAAACCTCCTTCCTTTTCCAATGTAAAATGTGCTTAAAAAATACAAGTTAGCATAACAAAAACATGATTTACATAAAAATAAATATAAAGCAGGAAGGGTTATATCAAAGCAAGGTCAATTCCAGCCTCATTTCCACCTGTAACTGTAAAATGGGCTATTCATTCATAGAATCTTGGTGGGTATGCTTAACTTGGCTTGACCTTAAAAGCCTGAAATGCAGGGATGCAATGCTAAGAACCACAACAGAACCACATCTGGATGTACAGTGTATGATTCACATTCACCTCTCTCCCCCTCCCCCACTAATTTAATTGCCTATCTCAAGCTCATAGACATTGCGACATGATATTATCACTCCCAGGGTCAAATTATGGGTACACTACATTATATAGCTCTACTTTTAGAATATTATTGATCAGAACCTTTTATGGTGGGATCATGCATAATAATAAACCTTTTCAGCAAACTGTCAGATGGTTTCTGTATGTGTTACTGATCATGTGTGAGGACCAAAAAGGCTGAATAATGGCCAAGTGCTTTTTTTGGACCAATTTGAAGTTGTGTTCCTTATGAAAAATAAAAAAGGAAAAGATTGAGACCAATATTCAGCCATCTTAGGAGGACAAATTTGTTCAAGAAACTATTTTATTATATGCCCTCTTCGGTAGTCAGTCAGGATACTGGATTCACTTGAACATCATCCAGTTATAATTTCCTGTATAAACTGGTTCTATTATAGTGAAATTCGTTGTATCGTGCTGCCCGTATTGTAATATTGTTTTCGTTTTTTCTGTTCCTTCAATTATTTGAGTAAAGGTGGGTTTAATGCAAATCACAATGTAACGTGCTTGCACAGCTTGGCTGAGAATGACTCCAGACTGCTCAAGAATAGCAAAGGAAATCGCAATGGTAAGCGGATTTTTTGTTGAAGGAAGGAGGCAGATGTTGCTTTATTCTTGGAAGTGACAAGAATAAGAAAGATCAGAAAAATCTGCAAAGCAAACTTAAATAGCAGAGTATTGCCTGAAACAGGATGATCACAAAGCAATGAAACTTGAAACATGACACAAACAAAACAAATGGAAAATCCGCCAATCACGAATCACAAACCAGGACCTTTTGAACTCGTGGAAGTAAACATGTGTTTCCTAAGAGGTCTTGTAAGATGACTGAAGGAACCGAAAAAACCAAAATTCCTTTGAATTTTCCAAAATGCACAGCGCAATACAATGAATTTTGCTGTAACTTGTGCTTAAGGCAGTATTCACACTTGGTGCCCTAGCACGGTGTCCGAGTATGGTACTTGCTGGGCGCCAATATGAACACACCTCTTTTTCAAGTACCCATGCTAGAATTCAGGCACGGTGCAGGTGACCTGTACAAAAAGGCTCAAGAGTGGGCACCGCGTTCCTGTGAGCAAACTGTTTTTGTTAGTTCTGGGATTGTCCACTGCTTTGTACTCGCTGCTAAGTTCATGATTCAAAATAGTGTCTGACAGGGCAAAATAAAGTAAGTGTGCACACAGTTACATGTTGGATACTCAAGGTGTGAACACAACACCATTTTATACTGATACTGTACCCAGGCACTAGTTCCCAGTGGACAACCAATAAGTGGATCAAACCCTATATACCTTACGATAGGAAATTAACTCTCCACAGAATTAAGGTATTAGAAATTAACGCGCCTTAAATTAACATGAATTTAGTAAAAAATGATTTTCGAATAAAGGAAATTAATGCAAAAGAGAGGGTACCGGGGGGTAACATTTCAAAAGTAAGGAAATTAACGCAATGATTACAAAGAAACAAAACCTGTTGAGACAACAGGAACAAAGTTAATCGTATCATCCAAAATGGAAACTTTGTTCGTGGTTCTTAACTTAAACGTTAAGCAAACAAATCTGGCCACTTCAAGTTCTTCACAGTTTAACTGCTGCTGGCGGATCTCCACCCTGACATAATACTCCTTTTTCTTAGGTGTCAAGAACATCAGAAATGTATTGAGAATTTGGGGTAAAAGCGTGGAAATTAAGGTCGTGGAAATTAATGCTACACTCAACTAACGCTGTGGAAATTAACATTTACAGATCTTGATGTGACTAAAATTAACGCAAATTTTTGAAATTCGCATTAATTTCATGAAGAGTTAATTTCCTATAATAAGGTATACACTTCAGGCATTGGTTTCTTGATCAGACTCTACAATAGAGAGAGATAAAAGATTCTTTCTCTCTTGTAATGTAGCACTGGGAATAGAGAGTAATGCTAGAAGGGTGTAATCATTCATGCCAGATGGACCCTCTTCAGCAATATGTTAAGTAATTGCTTTAGTCTTTGTCTTTTTCATTATATTTCAATCATCATTACTTGACATTGTTGGATCTAATAGACGGCTTACGCTGTGGGGTGTGGGATAGGATTGAAAAAAAAATGTTAATTTAACGTCCTAATTCATGAAATATGGGAAACTACGTAATACGCTCCGTCGACTCACGACCCCATAGGGTAATTGCTCGCTAGCAATTAGCTATGTTCGCTTTTGTTGATGGTTTATTTTTTATATCATCCAGCGTCGAAAATAAAATATTGTACAAAAAAGGAATATATTTACATAACTAAGACATCACATGTTCCTGATGCAACTATAAAAAGATAAGCTTATAAGCTTATTTTAATAATTATTGAATTGCAGTTCAAACGGAAACTTCACTTACAGTAACCTGTTGATCGCCAACCTTGATGTACATAGAAAAGCTGTCAATTCCCATGGTGTTTTTCCTGTGTTGGAGAAACGAGTTTTCTTTTGCACGGTAAAATATCGAGGTCTTTCCTACCCCAGCTTCTCCAAGTAAAATGACTTTGAAGAGCGGACCTTTTTCTACGCTGAGCGCCGCCATGTTGTTTTTCCAAGCCGGAAGCCGGAAGCTGCCTTTCTCTCAGCGAAATGTTATGGGAGAGGTAGGAAGACTTTTTATTCCTGTTTTTGATGGTCATAAACGAAAAACATATACACAAGAAAAAAACAAAATTCGTCGTGAAAAACATTTGCTCCATAGAATTCCTAACCAGAAACAAAACAAAAAAGCAGTTCACTCATTCTCTTTTAGAAAAAGTTGAAAAAAGATTCATCACACTACCCCCTCCCTGACGGTATGGACTCGGTCAGTTAGAGCTTCCCCGGGTCGGCAGTTCTGCGAAAAGAGAGCTGCGCGCATTGTACAGCATTCCAACGAGTTGTTCGGGTTACTACGATTCAAAGGAAATGTGGGGATCGGAAGAGAAGCTTCCGCTCTATAAGATTGTTTTAGCTGGAGATGTTGGTGTAGGAAAGACTTCTATATTTCAGAGATATGACACAAACAAGTTTTTCGACCACAAGGACTTTACATTGGGCCTGGACAAGCTAAACAAAAATGTCGAAGTCGATGGACAGAAATGCAAGGTGTGTTTTATAATAAGCAGCATTTTTTATAAGCTTGATAATCAGTTAAATTTAAAAGCCAATAACGCTCTTCTCACAGCTCATTACCTGGAAAGTAGAACTGAATACAAATTGTGATTTTGAAATTTGGATCGAACACATAGTCATTGTCATTTTCAGTTAAGCTTACTTTAATCCCCATCAAGTGCTATAAAATGTTAAGACTGTTAGCCTGTCAGCAGATATTTTCTTAATTCTGTGAAAATCACTGACTTCGCAGGTTAGTTGATAAGTTTATGCCATAATCTTTCTTGACGACTTCGGATTGTTGGGAATCATTTGAAAATTGAAATCCGTAAAATGGAAGTAGATCTACGAAACCTCAAAATCCACAAAACGTCTTACATGTGAACTCTCTGTGGCTTTACGTGATTTCCCTATACTTGCAGCTGCAAATATACGGTCAGTGGGTCTATTTCCCTACATTGAAACCAAAAATAGTAAGGATTGTACAGTCATGCTAGGTTCCTGGTTTAAAAACCCGAGCAAACATGCAATGGAACAGTCAAAGCTTTCCTAAAACACCATAAGTGGTTGCTCATATGCGATCATGCGATGCCCCTTACTGGTCGTTTCGATACAAAGTCCGTGGTTTTGCATTTTGTATTGCTGGTTTGCATGTGACATCACGGCGGCCATGTTGGTGGTCATGCAAGAACAAATGCATTTCTCTCCTCTGGGAACTAAACTCTATTTTCATGTAAATTCTTCCAGAAAAAATTCTATTGTTTTGACCCCGGCCCAACATGGCCGCTTTGTAACGTGGTCGGAAACCAAGAATAGTTGGCTTATGGAGCAAAGAATATTTATGCCATGTGTATTTCTTGTTCATGTCCCATAACTATACTTTAATTGATTGAAATTGTTTTGTAGTTTCACTGCTTAATAAGTTTGTATCAAAATGACTTTGCATTGGAATGACCAGTTTCTGATGCACCTATTGAGGGGTGGTTACTTATGAATGTTTTTTAGCAGAAGGCTTGCTGTCCTGTTTATTACCTGCAATACATTAATACAGGGCTTAAAATAACGGCCGGTCAACGGACAATGTCCGGCCTGATCGTGGACTTGACCGGTCAAACTCTCATCTTGCCGGTCTTTTGTGGATGGGAACCTTTTAAAATATTTTCCATATAGTTGCTGCTTAATGCGTTTTGAAACTGAGTTGTGGAGTAATGCAACGATGCTGCAGGTCGTGCTGTACTTTCTGCTTTGCTGTGATTAGTTATGTGACCTTCTTTGGGAAAACATACACGTTATTTGTTAGAAAACTAAAGGATAGCTAACAGTTTTTGTCAATCTAACATTTTCACATCTACTAACCCTTGTAAGAGGATTGTGAAAATCACCTTCGACCTGCAAGGCAAAATTCTTCCAAATTTGGTCATCAGTAGCTGGATATGGTGAATTATGCGTGTGCTTTTAGCCAATCAGAAGTGGGGAAATATTTTGAATGAATAATAACATGCATTAATTAGCATTTTTGCCTGAACTAAAAACTTGGCCAAAAAGGGGATGCTATATACATAAGCGGTTGACTGAATTTTCGCTATAACAAGAACTTAAAAATACGGAAAAGACCAGCTGGTGATTTTCAAAAATGGTTGCAGTAAATGCTTCAAAGCTGTCACAGTTCAAATTGGAGTTTATAGTGCTGAGTGCTGATTGTAACTAGAGCTGGTTACTAACAGGGAGAGGGGTGAATAGCCAAATGAATTGGCAGATTTTGCAAATGTTTTGTCCAGATTTTGGATTCAAAGTGAGATTTAAACAGATTTTTCGGATCCTGCAATTTCAGCAGATTGCGGATTCATCCATTTATTGGGCCCGGAATTTGGACTTTGTGTGTAATAAAGCTATTTTTGCAAGGATTCAATGTGAAACTTTAATGGCAGATTTGGTTAATAAATCATGACAGATCGGTGGATTTGCATACCCCTATTCACCCGCCTCTATAAGAGTAGTTGTGAGGAGAGCTTTAGTCTAAGGAAAACAGCGGACGACATGTTGCGACACCACCAATGGTTTCCTTGCAAGGAAATGTAAGATGTCTGAATCCCGTGGGAGGGGTATTCCCCATAATGGCTCATACTGGTTGATCGGAGGCTCCACCAGAAGGGGGCACTTTTTTCAGTTTTCTGTCAAAAGTGGTTTACAAAAGGGTAAGGAGTTGGACCTCGGGGCAGAACCTCCCATATAAAAATTTCTGGCAAATCTGCAAATTCAATATTAGCTGCCCCTCTGATAAGAAACTTTACACCCATAGAGTCAAGATTGGCTCACTCCCTTTAGTTGCAAATCCCAGAGGAGTTTGATCCCTGTTTCTGCATATCAGGCTTGGTTATAAGCCTGGTTCTTGTATGCTACAGACCTACACCACACACTTAGGATATAAGCGTGAAAGGAAGGCCTAAGGGCCACTGGATTTCCCGCAAACGTGAGAAGAAGTAAATAGGGTGTCAAAAACAAGAACGATAAATGTGATTTTAAGGTTAAAAGTTAACCCAGAAAGATATTCCTGGAGCAGTTGTAGTATGAACGTGCTTTGGAAAGTGGACAGTGGAGAAACTAACCTCTGGCAACGATCCTTTGGAAATACATGAAACGTCAAGTCTTTCCTATTATCAGAGTGATTATTACAAATCACAGCAGCACAGCGTTGTGAGAACTATTTTTGTCAAAGTTGTAGGATGTGCTTCTGCCACTTTTAACTGCGATGTGGTCCTTAGGCCTTGTTTCATACTTGTCTCGTAAGTGTGTATACCTGCGACACAGCTACAAGTTGACAATGCTTCCAGTACTGTTCTGGCAAGTGCTAATATACACTTGTACGCCCCAGCAACTAGAGGTACCAGAATGCCTATGAGGTTGAACTTGAGTGCCTTAAATTTTTCAGGCCAGCTGTGATGCAGGTTAGCAGGGTATTCATTAGGCATTGGAGATCGGAGAATTCTCCCTTTACTACGCTGAATTGTCCGGCTAACATTCGGTAGCCTATGACTATTTTTATTCAGACGTGGAGCCTCTTTCAAAATATTCTCCTGTGTTGTTACATCTTTGTCCTGTTACTAGAAATCTTAAAATATTATGAAAACCCTGGGTTGGGGCTGAAATATTAGCTATGCTTCAATTTTGGAAGTTCATAGTATTATTAATTATTTAATGTAATAATATTTATTGGTAGAGTACATGCTGACAGTTAATGGTGTCACCCCTCTCCCCATGTAACTTCCTTTTATTTTTTTCTTTTCATAGATTAATGTCTGGGATACAGCTGGCATGGAGCGGACCAGATCTCTTACATCAAATTACTACAGAAACTCTCATGCTGTTATCTTTGTGTATGCTGTTGACGATATGTACTCACTGACTGTGTTGCGGAACTGGATAGAAGATGTAAATAAGGATGCAACCAAAGCCCTAAAATTCCTTGTTGGTAACAAAATAGATCTTGTTGATGAAGGTGCGATGGTTGATGATGACTTAGCAGAGAACTTTCGCAATAACAATGGCTTACATTCACTCTACCAAATTTCAGCCAAGACAGGGGAAGGAGTTTTTGAAATGTTTGAAAACATTGCCAAGCTACTGGTTCGCAATACAAAGGCAACGATTCAGGATAGAAGTGCTTTTGCTGTCATTCAAGCTGAAAGTGAAAAAGCCGCTAAAGCGAAACAAAGCAGTGGTTGTTGTAGTTGATGTGCCAAAGAATACAGTATTTAATTATTTAACTCATACACTGTTAATCCCAGGTTAATTGCCTGCCATACACCTAAGTCATTGTGCCTGATCTGCTTCAACCTGCAATCCCAAGGTGTACTTAATTCCTAGCGCGAAAATCAATGAGAAGGAGATTTTGAAGATGTCGAAGTTTCAGTGTAAAGAGATCCCCAGGTGTTTGGGTTTGCTAAAGATTAAAGACACAATTATGTCCTTGCAGAGGGGCACAGTTGAACTTGAAGAGGTGTAGGAGATTATTATTTTTATTTAACCAAACAAAGAATCCATCCAACAAACACCAATTTAACACAATTTGCCAGAAATAGAGTTGAAAGCTATCATTGTTACTGTTAAAAACAAATAGACCACAAGTTTCCATTATTTTATCACTCTTATTGGCCCTCGATCATGATGTTGTTTCAAACTCAGGTGCAACCATGAGCTACAGGCAGTGGTTTTGTTGTCATGGTAAATTTAAATCGTTAGTTTAGTTGAGTTTAGTCTTTTGTTTTTAGGAGTAAAATAATTGAAGCAGAACAAATTTGCTGCAAAGTTTGAACATTTTGATGGTTTATATGACTGTAGATAATGGACTTGTGGGCCATTTGTTTAAAAATAACATTGAAATGTCCTTAATCTGGAAAATAATGAATTTGAGATATCATGTCATTTCCATGGTAGATCAAAGCTCTTGACCAGTGAGGGTTCCAGAAATCACCCTTAGCTTTTACTGTAAAAAGGGATCGCTCTTATTTATTTCTAGAGTAAACTGGACAATCATTAGTCAAGACTTCATTTGCATCTATTTTCTTTTTTCACACTTTTACAGTTATTTTTATGGCTTGATCTATGATAATATATAGGTAAAATATGTTAACAGCATCCCAGAGAGCAAATTTTACCCCAACTGAACAGATAAATGGTTGTATAAACTAGAGAATATTTTCAGGTACAACAAATAATTTAATTTTTGAGTAAATTTTGGGAGGCAGCGATGTAGTTGAGACCTCAAGCCAATGATGTTATGGTTAAGTTCTAAATAGTTTTTAATAATAGCCAGTTATAAGCACCCAAGCTACAAACTTATGTAGGCCCAGAAAGAGCTCATATCTAGTCATTACTGTTAATCAAATGGTAAAACTGTTATTGAAATTACAGTGCTTTATCCTTTGTCCTTATAGGCATAATCAAAGACATTGGACTCAGAGTAACATAAAAATTACTTTTTCTGATAGTTCTTTCTACATTTTTAATGATTTAGGAAGCATCCCTTTGGAGATAAAGGGTGGGGTGGGTGGGGGTGTGTACTTCCTAGTAATATGTTCATGGAGATGTACTGCTGGATGGAATCGCATTTTAATGACTGGGTCAATTACTAGAATGGGTGTGCACATTTTTGGGATGTTGGGGGTTAGAATATTCTAGTAATTAGGGATTTTACAGCGTAAGAATAGGAAGATTCTTATTAGATTAAGTTTAAGAACTAATGAGTCAATTTGCTTTTAAAGGCTTTTTAAGGTGGATGCATAAACAGAAAGTGACTAAGTTGGGATTGCAAAAATTACATTTGCCCAACAGTGACTAAGATTGGGACCGTAGTATAGACTATAATGGGGTAGGGATTGTGAGAGGCCAGCGGCACATACCCAGCAAAAACTAACCCAATTAACCCCCAGGCCCCAGGCATACAGATCAGGATCAGATCAGATCATGAGACACCTAAGGAGCCAATGAATCCACTCTAGACAAGGATTCATCATGATGCTGGATCACTGAAACCTGTCATTTCAATACAAGGTCATTTTGATTTCAAAGTTGTTTCAATACAAGTTGTTATGATATGAACTGAAGCAGTGGAATTGCACAAAAATTTGGTTCACTTCAAGGATAGTTTGCGCTTGAACAAGAAAAACATTTTGGGTGAATATTCCTTGTTCTTTAAGCCAAGGATGTGAAAGGTTTTAGTGAATATTAATATTTTCATATTGTGAATCAACTTGTACTGAAATGTCTTGTATCAAAACAACCGGTAACCTGGATAGTTGATCATAATTATGCAGGGTTGTCCACTAGATCATTCCAAAGGAAGGTACTCTTCATTGACCATTACAAAGTGACAATAGTAGAATTTATTGTTGGTGTTCATGTAAATAGTGGCTTTTATAAGAGTTTTTCTTGTAACTATACATTTTACCTTGCCTGGTGTTACTGAAATAATTATGCATACTATTTTGCCAGTAAATTTAACAGTGGCTAAAAATAATTATGCCATTTTATTAAATGACTGTTAGATACCAATTTTTAATTTCCTAATATACTTGTGAAGCTATTAATTTCCTCTACATATGCCTGCATGTCTTCAGTTTATTGTGACATTATGTTGATGTATAATACAATGATATTATTTTATAAAAATACTGATTTAAAATACTATTGATAATTATAATTAATATTATACTTGATATGTACATTAATTTTTCAAAACACTTGGGAATTTCAATATGAAAGAACTTTGCCCAATTCCTGGTACCAAGTAAAAATGTAAGGCTACCTGAGGTTGTACGTAAGAGTTGTAATAATATTGTTATTGACTTCTGCAGGTGATGATTACCCTGGGTGCCAGAGACTTTTCGAGTGTGGTTTCTGGTTTCTTTCAAGTCTTTATAGTCACCCACCTGCAGCCCAAGATGTGTTGGCCGTAGGCCAACACCGAAAATTCCCGCCACACATGAGAAAAACCTCTGGTACCCAGCGTAGGTGATGAACCTAAAATGCCTTTACTTTCTATTAATAATAACAATGATTATATTTGCTGTGGTAACAGCCCTTTCTTTTGTGCCTGTTTTGGGGCATTTTCTTCAGTGTTAGATGCCTCAAAAGGATTCACCAAAAATTGACGTTAAATAGATTAATAAAGAATCATTTTCATATCAATGGCTTTGCACTTAGCCTCACTTTGAAACGGAGTCTTGGTGCAACTCAGAAGTGCCCAGGCTATTCCAGTCTCCCCTCTATAGGTCAAGTACAGATTTTTTTCCTGTTCGTGCAGTGTGATTAAAGGTTGGCATTCACCTTGATCCTGTTTGTTTATGAAGAGCAGCATTTTCTTCGTCTTCGACATCGTTGACGAGTGTCTTCAAAATGCAATTGAACAACAGCAGCATCTGGATTGTAACTAGCACTCTTGTCATTGCAATTACCAAGGCATGAACGACTAGTTGGTTTCATGGGTGTTGCTCTCTTATTTAAATGGCTCGCTAGTTTATGAAGCATGTCCTGTATACCTTCACCTGTTAAGGCTGAAGTTCTAAACTGCAACACAAATGCGCTCTTTGGAATAGATGACCTCAATTCATCCTCTGTGAAAGTTGGTTCTAAGTCTATCTTGTTTGTGATCAAAATGAAGCAGGCACCTTGCGCATGGATTTTGGCAAACTTTAGGATTTCAATGGCCTGGCTGAGAGATTCTTCGTCGTTTACACTGTACACAATCAACACAGCCTGGCTGAGTAAATAGTGAGAGCGAGTTAATGTGGCATGTTGTTCAAGTCCAGCAGTGTCCCACAAGTTTAGCTGCAAATTAAAGTGGAAAAATGTCACGTCTTGACAAAATATGCCACACCCGTGCCCCTTAGTTCGGGGACAAAAATATTCATGACAATAATTCCTGGCTGTTCTCTTAGGAACGTTGTCTGGAGTCCAAGAGCGCTGCGCCTAACAATTAAGAGGCCCTGCCAGGGTAAATTCTGACAAGCGACATGGCCCAAAAAGTAGCAAGAACGCTTAAAATAAAATCGCGACAAGAGACAACCTCCCCCGACCAAATTGCAACAGTGATGGAAAAGCTGACAATAAGCGACAAGCATATTTTATAAACACCGACACAAGATGTTTTAAAATTCAGTGGGGCGACATGGACCCCCCCCCCCCCCCCCCCCCCCCCCCCTGGCCCCCCCCCCCCCCCCGGCACGGCTTCAATTATGTAAGTTTGCTGTAAACCCTGGTAGCCCAAGGTAAAAGTAAAAAAGTTTCCAGAACCTGATAGTAAGCTCTCCAAATCAGGCATAGCATCAAATAAGAAGCAATGTGCCAGGAGCTAGCACCTGATCGGCAATAATCTTACTGATGCTTTGCTTGCAACTATAAACATTAATTATTCCTCTTATTCCATCTCGTTCTCACTAGGGAGATTAAGCAACTAATATACGATGATGACAGCAATGAAAATTTTGCTAAAAAAATAAATTTGCATCTAGCTTTTGTCTATTTGCAACTGCTCAATTTGTCAAATAAGGCCAACTTTTCCTGGAGTTGAATTCTTCAGGACTTTATCCATGTTCAAAAGGGAAGGGAAAATTTGCCATCATATGTCCACATCCTCCATAAAATGTCACATTAGGAGGTTTCATGTTCCAGTCATACAGTGGACGTCAAAGAAAATGTGCTCAAATGTGTGATGAACAAGCAGAACTGTTGTTTTGCTCACAAAACTAATTAATTTTTATTGTATTTTGATGTTGTTGTAAGTGTCATCGCTGTGGTTGCTTATTTTTTGAGCTTGCTATTGTCAAATGTTGGCAAGATTTTCTGGAGTTGAATTCTACAGGACTGTATCTACTTGAAAGTTCACAAAAAGAAAAAGAAATTGTCTGTTGTCTTGTGTTAACATCCTCCATAAAAAGTGAATTTAGGGAGTTTCATGCAGTAGGCGCACGACGTCGATAATAATGAAAATTATGTACAAAAAATGCATGTGCAAATGTTTTGCTTATCTAAAACTATTGCTTTTTAATTTTGCTGTTCTTGTTGCAGCTGTTCCTGTTGTCGCTGATTAAACTCCCCGCTAATAAAGTATTTAAAACAACTCTGCAGCATTGCAACCCTGTGTTGCATTACTGCTAGAAAGTTTTAGCACTCACTGGAAAGGGTTATTTTTAAATAATAATAATTTATGTTAAAGAATACCTTTATTTTTGTTTCCTTTTCTAGTTCAACTGACACATTACACTCCGCAGGATCAAGGGTATTTCTTGCACAACCTTTCTGAGGGCTGTCCAAGTCAGACCCACACATACGTCTAAAAATTGATGTCTTTCCGACCCCAGTCTTTCCACATAACACAACCTTGTAGGTGTTGACCATGTTAGGGCTCTGACAGCTAAGGGGAACTTACATGTAGTACGGTAGTTTAACAAATTATAGAAATGTGGCAAATACAAAACATTCTCCTCTCAGACAGCATTTTTTGGACAGAGTATTATCAAGTCTGGTATCTTCATATATTTTCTGCAAGAAAAATAATAGGATACACTATTGCTCATTGATTGAAATCTTGAAGTCAGATCATGACTTGAAAATCAGGGCTGGACATCACTAAGATTCCAAATTGCCGGGTACATGCAATTAGTGGACCTGTAGTGAATTGAAGAGCTGGGAAATTCTTTTGATTCTATCATCCTCTTGTTTCCCATGAAATTAAAGTAGCTAGGGGTGATGCCCATGTAATAATAGCTGGGGGAAATTCCTGGCCCACGGCCCTTAGTGACAGCCCTGCAATGCGGAAAATGTTCAATCTTGTTGGTAAATGAATAAATTAAAAATTAATAACTTGTGTGTTGTCTTTTTAAAGGTCACATCATATTAAAGAAGAAAGAGAATTTGATCACCCAAAAGCATAAAAGAATATTTATTTTTGAACTCTAGGTGAGAATCAAGCTCATGGCTCTCCAAGTTCTAGTTTGCATGCTCTAACCACTGAGCTACCTAATTAACTGGAACTCTATGGCGAGTGAGCATCAAATGAAAAGTTCATGTCTCTTAATATAATATTCACAAAGCCATTGGAAAATTTTTGCAAGATTTTCCATTAAATGTCACCAGATTTGCCATCTTTCTAAAAACTTGACACTTTACAAGAAGCGTCTCTTGCATCTTATTGTAATTTTTGCCAGTGTGTTGCTCTGGTGAATTTTTTGCCAGATTTGTATTTTCATCTTTGCATGCACTTCCAGACTGGAGGTAATGAATGGTAAAATCCAATACTAGCATATTTGCCAAGATGCCAAGACCTTGCTTACAAACTTGCGACTTTGTGGAACAAGTTCAAAATACAGAGACATGAATTACTACTGTGGACACCCTGATAATACCAGCAACAGCTAATTCCCTGGCAAAAATCACAGGAGTTTTATGTTTCATTGCTAACACAGACTACCCTAAACCAGTGGTTTCTCCAAGCTGCAAAAATGCAGCATGAGATTTTCGGGAGTTTATCAATTTTTGTATCTAATATGGGGATTTTTTTGCAAGTTGCTCCAAGTTCAAGGGATTATTTTGGGTTTTAAATAATTATTTTAGGTTTTAATTATTTTGGGTTTTGACCCTTCACGTGACTTGGGGGGCTTATCTAAATTTCATACTATGCCTATTTTCACGGTCCAGGCCGTGAAAGTAAGAAAAATTTTTGGAATGTGAGTGAAATTATTTTCTCTTTCATGCGTGAAAAAAGCATGGCTACCATGAAAATTTCACGCAGTGAAAAAGTTTATAATGGCCGTGAAAATATTTCATGCCGTGAAAAATTTACTGTCTCCGGAGAAAATCTGCTCATACAGAGAAAACATTTTACTTTTCCATTTTATTAATATAAATCACTCTATTTTGTACCTACAATGCAAATTTCAGAGATTTAGTGCTGGTGTGTATAAGTCATTCAAGATCCAATTACCAGCGTTGAAAGCTACATGTTATACATTGTTATCTAATTGCTACCTTTTTTCTTCTGAACACGCAAATACATGCTTTTTTTTTCGTATAATTGTAAAACAGTTTTTCTGTCAAAATGAAATGTAACATTGTTTTCAAAGGTGTATTGTTTAGATGTCATGAAAGCCTTTATTTGCTCAGATGAATGTAACATGTACTTTTTGATTGTTGATTTTCGGCAAAGCAAATGATCACTGAAGTTCACTGTAGATAATCAACAACTGCATGATTCCATCTTTGTATTCTCTAAATTTACAACCAAAATATCATTTAAAATTTAAAAGAATTTGTAAGCTTTTATCTCTTCCATGAAGTTATGCAAATGCTAGACTCCACGGCGACAAGATGAAATATGTAACTTATGTTTTAATATTGCGTGATATCTTTTGGATTTATTTCATATTTACCGCTTCTGTTCAGATCGTTGTAAAGGTGAAATTTTGAGTATAACATATAGCAATGAGACAAGGAACTTGAAATGGAGCATAATAAAACAAGTAGAGTTTGCACATGTGATGGGGCTACAAAACTGCAGATAAGATCAGTCACTTCACTGCAATGTGCATCGACACAGACGACAATTATCCCGGTTTTAGGAATGGCAGTAAAAGTTAGTCTTTCCGCAAAGAATTTTGTTAGGTTTCTTGAGTGAAAACCTTGCCATATTTGGTAAACAACTAAGCGTCTCTGACATCGACATTAGGAAAATTTGCAAATTGTGGAGAACAAAAAAGAGCCAAAAGTCACCGACTGTTGCAGTTGCAGATAATGCAAACAAATTGACATGAAACACATGCAGTTCCAATTGTGTATATCTAATAAAATACTTGCCATGAATACATAAAAATATCGATGAGAAATTACCAATTTTGTGACTTGTGTGATTTTAATTTGTGGCTTTACAGGCCAAAACGCGGAATAGTCTGAATACGTTTTTTTATTTTTTTCATGAGCTATTTAAAACAGCTTGAATATTCTGAGAGAAATATAATTTTTTGCGTGGATTAACTTCCCCAAATTTCGCTTGATGTGACCAGGTATTCTTGTTTTTTTCCAGTTCGAAAAGCGGCAGAAGGGGAGAGAAAAAACAAAACAAAACAAAAACAGGTTAGATTTCATTCACCCTCTATATGTTTCACGGCGTGAACATGTGTTCACTCTCAATCTCACGGCGTGAAAGTTTACACCGGTTAAAAAATCATGGCGTGGAAGTCTTGACTGATCTTTTGCAACATGATTAGCTTCACACCAAGAGAAAAAAATTCTTGCATAGAGTGAACGGGCGTGGAATTTGAAATTCACGCCGTGAAAACTCTAATTCACGCACCGTGACCATGAAAAAAATTCACGGTTTTTAGTGAAATCCATAAGCCCCCTTTTCACATGAAGGGTCACAATAGGGCCATTTATACGAGGCAAAATAAGACGCGTCTTAAATAAGACGCAAACTGTACCATTTATACGAGCATGTCTTATCTAATAAGACGCGTCTTAGCTAAGCCGCGTCTTATTTTAGACGAAATGTGCCGGACGTGTCTTATTTTTCCTCGTATAAATGGCCCTAATGATTACCACATTGGAAACCCCATAGTACCCCTCCTCCGACCCATCCCGGGCCAGTAACACACCCTTTCATAAATTAATCAGCATACAGACAAAAAACAATGAAAAACAAAGAAAAAGCAGACAAACAACCAAGTTTGGTTGGGAGTGTTCTGCGTGTTCTTTTTTTTTGTTTGTTTGTTCGATCCACTCTGAATGCCGTCAATTAAGCTAATTAGCTCATTTAAGTATTAATAAGCTCATAATTAAAGCTAATTGACTTGCGTAGTTACTAAAACATGGAACGACCTAAAACCACCTAAAACTATCTACAACCACCTACAACCACCTCAAAAAATTCAACAACCACCTACAACCATCTACAACCACTCGCAAACAATCTAAAACCATCTAAAACAGGGTATAAATGTCTGAAATAGTTTCACACAAATGTATGTAGTCCCGCAGAATCCTTTAGTCTAGTGTGAACGTGTCTCACTTGTAGAGCCTGATTTTATGCAGCTATTAACCCGTTTAAATACAGTTGCAAGAATTAGAAAACATTATATAAGATATTTGATAATTCTTTTCAGCAAAATGAATCAAAACGTTCTTACCAGTAACGTCCCTTGGCAGGGAGGGAAGACCCGAATATGTGATCCAAATTTTTCGTTCCGTTTTAGCTCGTAAAGTTCCAGCTGCTCTAGTCTGTGCCAGGCTCTCAGATAGTATAGTGGGGACGTATTTACAACGAGCAAAGCGAAAATAAGAAGCGCGCATATCTCATCACTCCCAAGAAGAGGGCCGGGGTGAAAGTTGGGTTCCAAAACATAATAAAGGTATATAAAAATCCAGGTAAATTACTTTAAATACAATCATTCACTATTAAAATTTTTCAACCCATTTTTATTAATTTCGGCTCGTCTTAACTTGTTTTCTTCTGAATCCATTGCATTATAGATTTTTTTAAATAACATTTTTAACAATGATTATACCCGCTAGTCTCCGTTTCCTGTGTCGTGACGCAAGGGAGTTTAGCCTTGCGTGATGACACAGGAAACGGGTGTGAAAGACACTAGGGTCCATCTAAAGGAGTCACCTGGAATGAACAAACATGTTTGGCGGACGAGATGCTAAAAAAATTAACTTGTTCTAAGGAATGTAATCCGCCACCTCGGAACAAAACAGCAGTGAAGCAGACTCCGAGAGAGAGAGAGAAACCCTACCTTGTGCCATTGCGTAAACAAATGAAACGTGAACCAAAACGTCTCACTGGTACCCAGGGTAGAAAAAGCCAAATCAAGTCAGTCTTTCGACTACGAGTTTGTTATTTTATTTTATTATTTTTTCTGACTTGATAGTTCATTTTGTAAAGTTCTTTAAGTCTTTTAATATACTTAGCATGATCTCGCATTTCATTTCGTGACTTAAGCCAATGGTTGATGATGCAAGGGACCAGGGAGAGTAAGATTTTAGGGGGAAGTGGATGTTTTGTTCGATTCTCGTATTTCATGTTCCTGACATGTTGTCGTCTCGCCTTATTTCAGACATTTATACCTTGTTTTAGATGGTTTTGGATTGTTTGCGAGTGGTTGTAGATGTTTTTGAGGTGGTTGTAGATGATTGTAGGTGGTTGTTGAATTTTTTGAGGTGGTTGTAGGTGTGGTTTTAGGTGGTTGTAGATGGTTTTAGGTGGTTTTAGGTGGTTTTAGGTCGTTCCATGTTTTAGTAACTACGAATTGACTTGATAAAGCATTGCTTAAACTACGCAGGGCAATAAGTAAGTACACAATATTGGTTTAGATGCTAAATTTCTGTCAAACAAAACACTGTATTAACAGTAGAGAGAAATGCGTACCGTGAGCAGATGCACGACACCCAAGCACTAGCTGTATGTATTCAATTACCCTCGTGATCTCTGCAATAAGTATTTCACAGTCCACACGGTAGTCCACCAAACAACAAATCGCTCGTGAAAATAAGGTATCACATCGCAGTGGGCAGAAGAAAAAAGCTAAATTTTGCTAAAGCTTTCTCGGTTCAACTTGAGCTACAGCTTTGTGGCCTCGCACCCTCTCAAGGACTGGGACTAATGCGGTTTTGCGTATTTTGCGCTCTGCAATATGGCGGATGGAGGGGGTCATGAGACTTTCATGGCCATCGTTTCTTTACTGATGTGTTGGTGATTTTCAGTTAGAAAGATTAGCAGTATGGCTGAGGGAGGGAACAGGACATTGCCTGTGTACAAAGTTGCCTTGAGCGGGAGAAGTGATGTCGGTAAAACCTCTATTTTTCGTCGAATTCGGGGCGATGGCTTTCTTGACGATACTACGAAGTTCCGACATCTACCTGACGCCACGATCAAAGTTAAGGTTCGAGACAAAACCGTCAAGGTGAGAAATTGGAGGAAAATTCTGCATAACTCATCACTACGTCAGAAAACATTTATTATGATTGATTTAAAAGAACTACAGTATTATGATATTTGAAACATTATATCAATTAGTTCGAGATAATAGTAAGACTTAAGAAGTTATAAGCTTACAAATAGTCTGCAAATATTGAAACGACCTTTAGCTCACGTCTTTTCGTGCGGACTGTACTGCAATGTTTGATGTTTTATGCCAAGCCTCGAACAGGAAAAGGATTTGTACGAAAAAACTGGATTACAAAGGGGTATGCTTTTGGCCCAAAATTAAGGGGGGGGGGGAAGGTGACCCCAGGGAACCCCCGTCATTCGCACAACAACGTTTACAAATCCCCCCTACCCAAAATCAAGATTGTTTAACAAAAATCTACTAACGCCCTTCCCCTGGGGGCAAAGAAGTGTGCTCTGCCAAGTCAAAAGGTGCAATATTTCAAAAGAGTTCTATGGAAGGAATCGTCGTTTTCTTCCAAAAAATATAGTCGCTATGTAAACGAAGGATGTAAACGAAGGAGCTAATAATCTAAATAGGCATATTTTTAAGTGAAATATTGAAAAAGGAATGATGTTAACCGCTTCTAGAAGAATTGACAAATGCCCCAACAGAGGTTTGCTGCAGAGGTTTTCTGACAAATTCCCCACCGCCAGGACCAATAAAATGGCGAATACCTGACAAATGCCTGGCAGGGGGATGTTCGTGGGTCATTGCTCCTATATTCACTGTTTTGTTGGAGCATTTTAGAGCCTTTGGAATTAGCCCATTAAATGTAGGCTTTCTGGAATGAACGATTTTATTGAACATGTGAACAAACCTCTTTCCAAGACTTAAGATAATTTGTTTTTTTTTTTCAGTAGGATATTTACTTTGAATAAACGGTTTGATGAATAGGACAATTTTTGAATAGTCATTTGTCGGATTTGACGCCTTTTGAAGCACTAGTCGGCGGGGGGGAGCATGGCCAGTTTTGGAATTGACTGGTACATAATTGACCATATGTAAGGTAAAATTAGTTTACAGTAATAAAAGCCTGTTGCTTTTGAGTAGGAGCTAACTCTTTGGTACTCTTTTGATTGTGAGATGAGGTCTGTGAGTCAGGTGAAAACCCTGCAACCCTGCACCCTTACACCCATGCAGAGAGTGCAAGGCAATAGTGGGTCCCAGTCATAGTTTTACTGTTTTAAAGAAGACATTGTTTTCCCTAAAATCGTTATGCCATTGCCCTAGGGCAGAGATTTGCATTGTTACTGGTTGTTTCAATGCAAAGTCGTTCCACTACATGTCATTTTGCTGCATAATGAATTCAATTCACTGCAAAGTTGTTTTGCTGCAATTCCTCTGCAATAATGTGAAATGACAGGTTTTAAAATTCAAACTAGCGACATGTTTACGTGCATGTACATACCTCCCCTAGCTAAGAGGGCCCCGTTACTGTCAAGCCAGGTCAAGCGTACCCCCCAAGATTTCATTAATGAATTATTCAAAAATTGAATCTGTTAGTCAGTGGTTGTAGATTTCAGCTTCATCTCTGCATTCCCAGTGCATGTGTAATGGGCAGTGAATTCACAAGCAAGATAGTTGTGAAATTTTTGTTGTCTTGAATTTGATGTAAATGTCTTCAAAGCAATAGACCTTGTTACTGATACGGCAGCCATATTGAATTAATTCGATTTAAGGAGTATTATAGGATGCCCAGGCCAGGGGCATGAACACATTTTGTTTGTATTTTCAAGGACATTTTTTCTTGAAGTTTTCTTAGAATAAGATTGTAATGGGAAAAAAGATCTTTGTGCCATGTTTGGATGTAATAATGATTGCCTTTTTCCCAAGAAATATACAGTGAAAGACCATATGTCTAATACTAAACTAGAAAAAGGCGATCATTATTACATCCAAACACGGCATAAGGATCTTTTTTCCCATTAAAATCTTATTCTAAGAAAACTTTAACAAAAAATGTCCCGAAAAGCCCTTGAAAATAGAAACGGAATGTGCTCATGCCCCCTGGGCATCCTATAATACTCCTTAAATCGAATTAATTCAATATGGCCGCCATATCGGTAAAAAGGTCTATTATTTTATCCATTCAAAGATTCATCAATCTGACTGAACACAGAGAAGTTATTCTAAAAAAGTCACTGCTCATCACAAATGCGGGAATGCAGATTTGAATCTGATACTGGTTGCAGCAATGACTAATGGATTCAAATTTCAAATGATCACATCACTGATATAATTTAGGGGGTTATGCTTGACCTGACTCAATTGTAATTAAGGTGAATTGTATGATGTGATTGTGTGAATTTTGCCTTGTCTAGATACATTTTTTTGACACAGCTGGGATGGAAAGATATGGGCGTTTGACTCGCCAACACTACCATGGAAGCCACGTTGTCCTCTTGGTTTATGACTGTGATGACAGTGACTCACTTAAAGAGCTGAAGGAATTCTACAAAGATGCAAGAGATAATACGAATGGAGCTGCCATGGTGTTGGTTCGAAATAAAATAGACAAAGATTTTCAGAGTGTGGACATTGCAGAAACTACAAACTTGATATGCAATCGTAGTACAAGAGACATTTGCAAGTTTAAGTTCAAAGCAGAAACATCGGCAAAGGACAACACTGGCATTGAGAAACTTGTGAATGACATAGCTGAATACTTGATTAAAAATGTTGAACCCAGCAATAAAAGAAATGATTTCCAAGATAGGATAAGATTGGAGGAGCAGATACAACAGAACCATCCTAATGAGACAAGTTCAAGTGGTTGCCATTGTTAGAAAACTACACAGTCAATTCTCTTTTAATGGGCACCTCTATAAGACAGACCATTCACTAGAACAAAAACACTTTACTCCTTTTAACTTTTTATAAGAGGGATATCTCCCTAAGATTGACACATACATATAGTGCCAGTCCCAAAGGTGCCCTTATCAGAGGGAGTTGCCCATATCATTATGATATTATTTCTACAGTGGATGCGCTCATGGACAAACACCCCCAGGACACAAAAAGGTGTCTGTTACTGGAACTGGCCACTTATGGGAATGTAAAAATACAGAGTATGTATAGGGGTTAAGAAAAACAGGGTTTTGTGAAGGCGGCCATTAGTAGAGCTGTCTGCGTTTATACAAGATTGTCCATTGGGAGAGCTTTCACTGTATGTCATGAAGTGCTGCAAAAATTTATGACTGGTCTAGAGGAAACAGTTCATATATGTTTCCAGAGAATGTCTGAGATTCTAAGAAAGTAGCCAGTTTCCTGAGAGGCCGGTTGTTGAGTGATGTGTTTTGTGGCCCAAATTGAAGAAAAACATCTACACCGTCAAGACTTGACAAAAAGTAAATTCAGTGGGCAGTCAAGATTCATGGGTAACAGCATAGGTACTGTTACCCTCTAACGTCGTACATTTTGCAATGTAATGTCTGCTCAGACACTTTTGGCAGGAAACAGCTTTTTGTTAGATGTCATGTGACCTTTAAGTAACCAATAAGAGTGAATACTGATGGGAATAAATATTCCTGTTGTAGTTTTATAACAAATATGTGATTATGATGTCATAGACTCCAAGTTGACCCTTGCAAAAATAATATTGTTATCATTATTATAATCATGTTAAGAATTTAATGGTGGATATTGATTGAAAAGGAAAGTTTTGTGGTCAGTGACTGTATATACCATATCCAACAACAATAGTATAATCTTTGGGAAAAAAAAAGACTTTCAGAAAGACCAAATTGGGAATATAGTTACATCTTATAAAATACACTTACCGTGGTATAAAACATATTAAGTGATATCACTTTCTCCTTATTTATTATTGCTTTTATATTAGTGTAGCTGTTACTTGTCAAAACCAAATTCAGGTTAACATTTTTTAACCTATGTTGATTCTCAATTTCCAATCAACCTAGGTTAACAAATTTTAACTTGAATTTAATTTTGACCTGTAACATAGCCACTGAGCAGGCCTTCTAGCTTTTGGGCTGAACTCCTCAATTCTCCTCCTTTTCTTATCCTAATGCTTTAAGCAAAGTACCAAGTTTTCTGAGACAATTCCACTTTAGAGCATAAATAAACCTAAAAAATGCCATAAGAAGCCAAATCGGGTGAAAAAATTGGCAAAAGATGACTCTAAGGTTTTTTTATTAACCCATTCCCCTCTCAAAAACGGTGCGGATCCACGTCCCTTCTAGCACTTGTGACAACATCAGTTTTAATGGTCAAGGACAACCTCAATCAGTTCTTATGAGGCCTGTGGATCAGGATCGGTTTATTGGGTTACCTCATTTCATAAGCTGTTGGCTATGTGTCCAGTAAGCTTCTCGTTTTCATGCACTACAATACTGTAAAATTCCAAAGATGAGCCCTGGGGCTTATATTTTTCAAAGGCCCTTTTTGAGGGGCTTATATTCAGAGCGGCTTATCTACGGAGGGAAATTTGCGTTTCAATAGCCTTATAGTTGGAAGTAAATTTACCGTTTTTGCTTTGTTTTACTTTGTATTTGAGGGCAATTTCCAAGTACAAGCCCCCAAGGGGGCTTATATTATTTTGGAGGGGCGATTTAATGGAGGGTTTTTGCATTGCGAGTTTAGGGGGCTTATATTTGGAGGGGCTTATACACAGAGGGGCTTATTTTCAGAATTTTACGGTATTTCTGTCTAGTCTAGGTTTTATGGCAGCCTAGTGATGTCGCTTTTCAGCTTTGAAACATTATTACAAGGTGCTATGAACATTACAAAAAGCAACTAAAAATGAAATTTTATTACTTTGTTAGATGAAGTGCACAGGAAAGTTTGATTTTATACTACATTTTTGTATTTACAATAAAAGTTATTACTTCAATCAATAAACTGTTTAAAGGAAATTCCTCACACCATACAACAGAACAGTAGTTACAAAACATTATCAGCAGGGAAGAGAATTCTTTAACTCTTCTCTGTTTTTTCTCCTGTTGGCAGTTGTTGCTGCACATCTTGTTTGTCTTCCCTGTGTGCTGGGAAATTTTCCCACGGGGTTTGAAAGTCAAACCTACGAAATTCTTGAGCCATTTCAATTGGTTCACAGACAACCCGCTTGAGCTCGTCATCATACCTCACCTACAGCAACAAAATTAATGTAAGTTTTCAGTATTGAGGACAACTATTTTATTAAACTTATTTGGTTTCAAAGAACTGTCTGCCTATGCTTGCTTTACTGAGTGTTGAAACCAGTTAGCATAGCTCACCTCCTTCCCTTTTTCAGTAATAGGGAGCTTAAGCAACGACGACGGCGACAGCAACGAGTGACGTCAAAAAAGCAATAGGTTTATTACGCAAAACAACAAGTTTGCACGTGCATCACGCTTTTTTGTACATTTCTTAACCGTCCTTGCACGACTACGACGTGAAAATGCCTAATTGCAAGTTTTATGGAGGACGTAAACAAGCCATGACGAATCTTTTTCTCTCTCCAAACTTGAGTGCGGTCCTCGAGAAATCAAGTCCAGGGAAATTCGCCTACACTCGCCATTTTCAGCAAATTGGAATAAACGCGACAATGATTGAAAAAAATGGGAATTCATTTTAAAACTGACGTTTTCGTTGCCGTTGTCGATGCTAAAGCTCTCTAATGATGAGGATGAGTACAATGAGGATGATTATGACGACAAGATTTTTTTATACTACTTGTGCTCACGCGTGAACCAGCATCATCTTGGAAGGAAAATGCGATGGCCATTGTCATTCTACCACAAGTTTTAGTGAGAGGGTCATAGTGGCAGAAACAAGCTTTCAAATTTCTTAGAAGTTTTATCATTTTGCGATCAGGCAAGGGCTCAACATCCTTCAATAAAGATAGCAGTGCTGACTTTTTCAATGGAAAAAAAGTACGATGAAGCTTTCCAGGGTCTCTGTTTTTTGGAGAATACGTGAGAAAAAGTTAAGGTTAACTTCTATCCACAGCAATTACCTCAACATAACCAGTTAGTGGAAAATCTTTCCTAAACGGGTGGCCTTCAAACCCATAATCTGTCAAGATTCGTCGCAAATCTGGATGGTCAGCGAAAAATACACCAAACATGTCCCAGATCTACACGAGAGAAAAGACACACAATACAATAGTGAGATCTTAGACTACTATAGTGAANTATGACGACAAGATTTTTTTATACTACTTGTGCTCACGCGTGAACCAGCATCATCTTGGAAGGAAAATGCGATGGCCATTGTCATTCTACCACAAGTTTTAGTGAGAGGGTCATAGTGGCAGAAACAAGCTTTCAAATTTCTTAGAAGTTTTATCATTTTGCGATCAGGCAAGGGCTCAACATCCTTCAATAAAGATAGCAGTGCTGACTTTTTCAATGGAAAAAAAGTACGATGAAGCTTTCCAGGGTCTCTGTTTTTTGGAGAATACGTGAGAAAAAGTTAAGGTTAACTTCTATCCACAGCAATTACCTCAACATAACCAGTTAGTGGAAAATCTTTCCTAAACGGGTGGCCTTCAAACCCATAATCTGTCAAGATTCGTCGCAAATCTGGATGGTCAGCGAAAAATACACCAAACATGTCCCAGATCTACACGAGAGAAAAGACACACAATACAATAGTGAGATCTTAGACTACTATAGTGAAATCTAAGACAGTAATCTTAGGCTGTCCTCATCTTTTAGGACTTGTTTAGTTGAAAACCATTGAAATCAAAACGACAAGTGATCATCTCACGGAGGGCCCATAGGACACAAAAAGCTGCAACCTAGGAACTACTTTTACATTTTTTATTCGTTTGAGCTCAAACTTTGCAGGATTGTAGAACTCTGTATTCCAAAAAATCCTAGGTTTTTAGTTTTTCGATTTTAATGGTTTTTGGCCGAAAAATGATGTCACAAGACTGACGGCAAAATTAAAATTTCAAGATATGGCATAACAAATAAATAAGTTTAAAAAAGCACTATGTGACAGAATAGAATGTGAAAAAATGTTTTCAAAAACTCAGCTGCAGTTTGTGGATCTACCAGCCTTGATCACGGGCACCCCCTCCCCCCCACCCCCAACAGTCATCTCTGTTGATGAGTTAAAATGCTTTCAGATGCTAATCGATTTGCTGCTTGCTTTAAATATGCAAATATGTATTAGCTAGCTTTTCTGTGCTTGACCTGCAAACCATGTGGTGTCACATTTAATGCATATTAAATTGAGCATTGAGCAGTTGCACTGAGCTGGACAATAATGCAAAATTATGATTAAAAATCTCACAGAAAAAAAAAGACAGAGTGAAGATTCTGCTGTTGGGACATTCTATTACAGAAAAAAATATTTTTCAACACGAACAATTTGTTTAAAGTTACACAGAGCTCAAGGAAACCATCCAGATCCCTTCATCAGTGATGAGGTTTGCAGTTACATGCAGCTTCTGGGCCAGTGTAAAAAATATTGGCCAAGAAAATCACCTCCTTTCACATTCAATATACAAGGTCATGAACATTCATACTCGGCAACCGGGAATGAACTGTGATCAGGGCCACCACTTTCCCCAATTTATGGAACAATTTTACAGCCTCATCAAAATGAGGCTGTAAATAACCGCAAACGTCACCACTAATGAAGGGATCGGGATTGGTTCCAAAAGTTCTGCATAGTTTTCAATGAATCATTGGTGCTGAAGAATATTTTTTTCTGTCAGAGAAAAATATTCTCAAATTAGTAAATTAATATCAAACAAATATGATTAGTTATCATTATATCTTTTTACCTAAAGTATTTGCAAATGCTTTGTTTCAGAAGGGCATTAAATGGTGGC